TTTGATAAACCAGCTTTCAGCAGAAAACGTGCCAGCAGTCACCATACTCAAGATATATAGAGTAGGAAAACAGGAAACAGTCATTGCCGAAAATAGGTTTCGGCTACTTAAAGTCATATTCAGGTCAGCAGATGAGAGGAATCAGATTCTGAAGAATGCTCACAGGCTTCAAGGATCTGGAGTGTTCTTGCGAAAGGATCTTGCTGTTGCTGATCGAACCAAAAAGCAAGAAGCAGAAGCAGAACTAAAATCTAGATTTGCAGCTGGAGAGCAAGATCTGAAAGTAGTGGGTTTTCATGTAGTGAGGTTTCGGCAGCACATGATGCCGAAGCCTCTATGGAGAGGACGGGAACTCGTTTGAATAGTTTCGTTGTCTTTTACACAATCTTGTGTAACCTTTTAAACAAGTGGACTGAGCTTAGTAATGTGGTAAGCAACGAAAGCCCTGACATCATTGCCATCTCAGAAACTTGGCTCTCTTCTTGGATCGGTGGCTGTGAAACACATTTACGAGGATTCGTTCCTTTTAGAAGTGACAGGTTAGCATGCAAAGGTGGCAGTGTCATCCTTTACGTTAAGAATAACTTAACTGTAAAAGCCATGGAAAGTTGCACATGAAAGTGGGACATGTGAAATGCTGCGCTACCGACTGAAGAGCAAGGGGGAAGATGTTAACGTAATCGTGATATATCGAAGCCCTGAATGTGAAGCGGCAGACTTCCTACTGAATAAACTGGCCCTCTGGACAGGTAAATGCCGATGTTTGGTTGAAGGAGACTTCAACGCACCATCGGTTGACTGGGATAGACTGACAAGAAAAGCACCACGAAATTCGTTTGACCACGGATTAGTGGATACATCAATCTCCTTAGCCCTCATACAGCACATTAGGACACCAACCAGATATGAGCATCAGCGTGCGCCATCAGTTGTGGACCCAGTATTCGCAGATACAGACGTGTGCGTAGCGTCACACACTCCCCAAAATCAACGGCCTAGGGTTTGACGACTTTGACACTGATGCTGATCTTGATAGTTTAACTGGACTCGCTAAGCTGAAGACACCTGGTCAAGCATCCTCGCCATTTGGCACGCTGTCGTGTTACGTTGCACTGCTCGTATTCGACTCTCTAGCCAGTTAGTTGGAACACATCGGTATCTTGGCACAACCACCCAAATATACTATTCCATCCGACTACGCTATCGTGTTCTTCCTTGGTCTCGTACTCGTGGGTATATAACAAGCCCGAATAATTAGTGATTGGTCTTTGCATCTGTCAAGTTAGCACCAGGACAAATCCTAAATATACTTCACCCGGCACCCCTTGACAAAAGTAATTACGCTGTGATCATCTTCAGATTCATAGCAGACGTCTTGTACAACACCGATGCGCTAGCTAGACCCAACACATAGAAAGAGAATTTGGAAGCTATTAACCTGGTGGCCTCTTCGGAGGACTGTGCAGTCAAATCAGAAGCCTCATTTGAAGGTGCGTGGCGCTCCTCCAAACAATTATATGCATGAGTGACCCAACCGTTCATTCCGTGGACTGTCCTGAGGGGACGGAAACACCATTCTCCGTGGATAAACCAATAAATTCGAATCTTGCTACGACGTGTTGTAATCTTGCCACCCACTGCAGCACACCCGAAGTGGTGATGCATTACAAAGAACCCCGCGATAAATGTATCGCTGCTATCCGCCGGTCTCGAATGTGCTTTGAAACACGTCCAGCCAGGCTGTATTGCAACACCCGAAGAGCTTGTTTTCACATGTGAACTGTAGAAATAAAATGTGCCGTGGTATATCCGCCCCAATCAATGGGACAGAACATGACTGTTTGGTTGAAGACGACAGGGAAAAAGCCGGGGCCATGACTGGATATTCTGCCGAGGCCTTCACACAGGAATCCTCTGTGGACATTTGTGCAACAGTAGAAGCATTGATATCCGACAGAATAAACTCTATGAATGTCGATCGTAATGATGTATTTCGGACATCAAGTACTCTCGGTGTGGAAAATCATGGGAACGCATGAGCTGCGCCCAAGGCTGCTCAGGAAACTCGCACTCTATGTAGGCGGCCCATTGACTACTATATTTACGCTGTCTCTCAGTGGAGGCACACTCCCCTATGACTGGAATGATGCCATAATAGCACCTATCCACAAGGCAGGTTCTAGGCAGCTCCCTATCAAACTACAGACCGACAAGTTTGGCAAGTACTGTAGTGAAAATCCTAGAAAGAGTAATCAAGAAAGCCATCATAGTTCACCTAGAGAACAACACTCTATTATCCTGTTCACAGCACGGTTTTCATAGAAATTTCTCTTGCTTGACGAACCTTCTTATAGCCAGAGAAAGTTGGGTTAAGTCTAAAGATGGTAAGATACCGGTAGATGTTATTTTCATTGACTTTAGTAAGGCTTTCGACAAAGCACCTCATTCCAGGTTGCTCGAAAAACTGAGAAGTTTTGGAATCAAAAGCAGTCTGCTCGCATGGATAAGAGACTTTCTTGTTGGTAGAGGACAGAGTTACGACCAATTCTCAACTCTCCACTTGGAAGTTGGTAGAGAGTGGAGTGCCGCAAGGCACAATCCTGGGCCCTCCACTGTTTCTTCTATACGTAAATGAGCTGCCAAACATCACGAAATCCCCTATGGTTCTCTACGCTGACGATGTAAAAGTCTGGCGGGAAATTAAGAACTATGAGGATATACGTGTACTCCAGGAAGACCTGAATAGCTTATTTACCTGGTCAGAGAAGTGGTTGATGCTTATCAATGCAGGTAAATGTGTGAGCATTCACTTGGAGCGCACACACACACAGCAACATCTACGATATTGATGCGACTCCTTTACCGTCAGCACTGATCCACAATGACCTAGGAGTCATGTTAGTTATGACTTGAAAACCATGGCTCACTGTCGACTGGTAGCAGCTCGGAGTCTTAGGTCTCTTTGGGCATTACGTAGAACTTTTACGAAAATAAGTGGTAACATGTTCACCATCTTATACACATCCTTAGTTAGGTCTAAATTAGAAAACTGTACACAGGCCACCAATCCTTGTTTGAAAGGTGATGCAGACCTTCTAGAAAGAGTTCAGAGGGCAGCCACTCGTATGATCCCTGCGATGGCCGGCCTCACCTATGAAGACCGACTTAAGGAGCTGAACCTCTTCACTTTGTCCTACCGCAGACAGGGGGGGAGAAACCTAATCGTGCTATACAGGATTCTAAGAAATGACTTTGGACCTGACCTATCTTCTCATTTACTTCCCACTAGATGGGAACACCTCAGAGGACACAGGAGGAGACTACAAAAGCAAAAAACGAACATAGTCTCCGCAGAGTACTGGTTCTCGCGCGAAGTAATCAACACCTGGGAGGGACTTTTAGGAGAAGTGGTGTCCGCATCATGAACTGACTCATTCAAAAGGGGACTGGACAAGCACAGAAATTCACTGCAAAAGGATTAATATATAGGATCCCAGCATCCTATCCCCAAACAAGAAATCTGAATCTGACCTCAGTAGAGAAAAATTCAGTTTTATGGTGACGGAGAGGCTAACCGCTAGTTCCAATTGCCTAGAAGATTCTCCAGAAGCGTGCTATGTGCCACACTTTGTGCTAAGACAACTAGGTGCCCCCATGCCAGAGCTTTTTTGAAACTCTATAAGACTCGCTAATTGGCAGCCAATAACCTCTTCGCACCATCACACTGGAAAAGAGGCACCAACCCCTCTGGAGAAAGTTCAGAGGAGAACTGTGAACGCGCACAATCCCAGACCACGGCTGTACTACCCGCCCCACATTCAAGAATCTTGGAAGATCTAAATAACAGCCGAATAATTCCTATTTTCCAACTTAACTTGCTTCAGTATGGTGAACAATTATGTTGGTGTTTATCTATTTTATTCTTTGCTGTTTGCGAAGCATTGACGTTCCTTCTCTGGAAGAACCTCTTATGTGCCATGAATAACGGTGTTTAATGTATTGCTTGACACTTAACATAACAGTCAGTTCACATTACCAAGGTGATCAAAAGTGTAAGCTGGTTGGTTTTCATGTTACGTATGTTGTATGAAGTCGATCATCGCTGGGTGTTGTAGGGATGAACCCTAAACTGCACGAAGATGGACTAAAAAACCCAAGCCCGTATTCCTCTAGTTTCCGGAAGTGACGAGGTGATCCGTCAATGGCTTAAAAAATACGGAATAACTCAAGTCACTCAAACAGAGGAGTACTACCGAGTGGTCATTGGTGATCCTTGTTGGAAACCAAAGAGAATTCCCCACCAGAGGTCAGAGACTCGAATGCATCCACACATCTCCTTTCGAGTCTGTGGGCGCTGGAAAGCATTACCACCAAGCGTAGTCTCCATGCCATCCGCCGACAATTACAAGAGAAGGGTGGACAGTTGTCCAGTAATCCACGGCTTACTTTCATCTAGTTGGAATCCGAACTAGGCTGAAGAAATCATCTGGCGTCACACCATCCCAACACTAGTACCTGCAGAACGATTCGCTTCCTGCTCCGACCACTTAGGTCTTTTCCACCCCTCCTACTCGCTATGATTTAACCTCATTCACCTTAGTTCTGCATACCTTTGAACCCCTCTCGTCTTATTTGGTTGTACGAAGATTACTCCATCATTTCACTTTTCTTTGACTTTTACCAACACACATTTGTCTTCCTAGGTTTCCTATTCACTATCCTCAACTCTCTTTTACGACCAGTCCGGAAAACTATCTGGGAACTGGACATCTGAAGAACCCAGCTGCACCACAGTACCACAGAAACCAATCAACACCCAATCACTTGATGGGTAAACAGGAGCTAGAGCAGACAAGTGGTTGGATCTACTCCATTGGAATCCGCCAAAGACCTGGAATCGTTCTGCAAGACCTTGAAACGGGTACGAAGACATTGCCTAGTTCCGCTAAGCTCGTTTATCAGACATTGGATATTGGAAGCTTGAAGGTCATACGTTTTAGGCATTATCATCACAGGCTTTGGTAAATTGTGAAGGCCATATGACCCAGAGGTTAATGGTCACCTTGGGTAAGTTATCTCAGTCGTTCTGCATTGCTGAGTATTTTACTCTCCTACAAATCGTTCTATAGATTAAGAATTCTCTCTTAATGCAGTGACATTTTAAATAGAGACTCATATTTCATCACGGCTTCTGAAAAACCATTAACGCTCAGTGGGGCACTAACGATTTGAAATGAGCCTTGCAAATGTCTCGCGAATGAAACAGGGAATTTCACCCAGTTATGAAGTTGTATCCTGCCAGGAAAATAACGTTGTATTTGTATGCATTTCGCCTTCAACAGGAAGAATGGTAACCCAACTGTCCTGCGTTTGAAACAAATCCAATAGATGTTCAGTAAAAAGATAAAGTGTTTTAGCCCTTAGTTGGTGCGACAGCTATCTGTGTTTTACGTTTAATAGCCTTAAAATCTATATAGTATGAAACAGTGAGATAAAGTGTATCATATGAATAGTATTGTTCAAACCTAGATGCTTCTATTTGTTTTTCATTTATTCTGCTACGTGGTGTCATTCAATTCCATTCCATGTTTAAGTCCGATTTGTGCTGGTATCAGCTGAGTCAGTATTCAAGGAACCAATTGATTCTAAAATTACAGTTGATCAGTTTTCATAAGGCTATAGCCTTATCAGAATGTTTGCAACTAAATACGAGGTGATTTTATGAATTCATTAACTGAAGTCGCCACCGAAAGATTATATTCACAATCGCTATGCACTACTTATTATTTTTATAACTTATCTTTCGGGTTCCTGGTGGAACATAGAGCTTCAGTAACGCGTCGCCATTTCACTCTGTTCTCTGCAGTCTTTTCAGCCTGACTCCACGCCTGCCCAGAAGCTTTCATTTCCTCACACTGTCTCCATGTCATCTTCGGACAACCTACTCATTTGGGCTCTACTCGAAGGCCTGGCCTGGCACTTGATGTCCCGAATGGTCTTTTCAGTGTATGTCCAATTCAATCCACCTTCACTTCCGTCTTCATATTTCTTGGGAGATGGGTTCTTGATTGGTTCGTTGCCCGATCAGAGTCAGTTCCTTGTTGCTTATTCTTATTATTCTGGCCATCTGATCTCCATCTTCAGTATCGAGTGAGCGTAAGCGGCAGCTGTTGATGTGGTGTATGTTTGTAGTTGTTGGAAATGCTTTTCGTGATGCTCCAAGTCTGTGAACCATCACATAGAAGCACTGACTTGACTGAGTTAGTGTTGAAAATCCGGATCTTGTTCTTCATGCTGAATGGAGTGGAGTTGATCTCCACACTGATTATTTCGGGTTAATGAAGACCTGTCTTGCCATCTCTCCGGTCTTGGCTTTGACGTCCTCATTTGTGCCTGTGTCACCTGTAGTTGAAATGATGCTGCCTAGGTGGTAGGTGAAAGAGACTACTTCCTTTAGGTTTCTCCCGACATTAGACATTAGACATAAATCATCATTGGCGAAATCCAAATCTTCTCCTAGGGTCATTTCATCGGTCCAGTCAGCGTACCCTCATCTTCTCGCTCCTCACAGCTGTCTGTTGCAAGATCCAGTTCAGTGTGATAGTAGACGGGAGCGTTGTGTTACTCCTGTCTTCACTTCAAAGGCATCATTGAGGTTTCCATTGTGGATCACTTGGCATGTGGCGTTTTCACATGACTGTTGAAGCAGTTGTCTGCCGAATTACTTTCCAGTTGACACTGTCGAAGGCCTTTTCAAAATCGATGAAGTTGAGGTGGAGAGTTGACTGCCATTCTATGCTCTGTTCAATAATGATGCGTAGCGTAGCGTTGCAATTTGATCCGCATATGATTTGTTTCTCCTGAAGTCAGCCAGCAAACTGTTCCTGGTCGAGAGCATTTTTCAGTCTCTCCAGGATGATGCGGCATAATATTTTGCTTGAGTGGACAGGGACAGGAGCATGATTCCGCTCCAGTTCTTGCAAACACTTAGGTCTCCCTTCTTTGGGAGTTTGACCAGGTAGCCCTTCTTCCAACCGACAGGCAGTTACCTTTGCCTCCTTCCTTCCAAACCTTCTGCAGTAGTGGTGTGGTGTGGTGTGGTGTTAGCATGTGCGCTGCTGTTGTCTCTGCTTCAGTTTTCAGTGCTTCTGGATGGATTCCATTTGGTACTGCTGCTTTCCCGAATTTCAGCAGCTTTATGGCGTTCAGGAATTTAATTCATCTTTTGTCGGGAGGCTTGTGTTCACTGTTAGTTCTGTCTGAGCTGCTGGTGGTATTTCTGGGCGAGTTAAAGTTGGTGATGGTGGTCGATTGGATAGTTTTTTGAAGTGGTCAGCCCATCGTTTCTTTTGTTTCTCCTCTTTGGTAACCGGGTTTCCTTCACTATCTTTCATTGGTTTCATCTGAGTTGATCTCTTTCCTCCCGAAGAGCAAGTAACCTGGTTATTCGATATAATGTTATCAGGTCTTTGTCTCTCCTACCTGCAGCCTGTTGTGCTTCACTTTTCAGTGTGTCGTAGAAGTGTCTTTTGTCTTTGGGTGCACTCTTCACTTCTTTGTTCAGTGTAGTGTTTTATGTGTTATGATCAGTTCCTCTTTTCGTAGTTCATCCCTGCACTGCACTGATTCACCATCTTCCTCTCCCTGCTCTATCAGCTTCCATGTGGAGATCCGTCGAGATCCATTCCTTGTCTTGCCTTTTCTTCTTCCTTCCTAATACGGTTATGCAGGTTTGCTTCCACGTCTCTTTCACAGAGTTCCAGTGTTCTCCCATGTAGGTTTTCTCGAGGATGTTGCTCAATGTCTCTCATTTTGTCCTGATGACTGACTGGCGTGAGGATGTCCTTTTTAGTTTTGTTCTTAATTTCAGTTTCTGTTCTGGGTGGTGAACTTGAACTGTAGTCTATCATCAACTTTTTGTTCAAATGCTTTCAACTTGATTTTCAAGGGTAGGTTCCTTGCACTAGACAGTGAGTGATGTGAATCCACATCTGTTCCCCTTCTTGATCTTGTGTCTAGTAGGTTACGTCTCCACATTCTTCACATTGAGGTGGAGTCGATTTGATTTTTAGTGTAGTGTGTCCTGGTGTGGTGTCTGGTGAAATCCATGTCGCTGGCTTGCGAATATCCTTGTGTTTGTACACACTGTCTGACTCCAATCACCAAATCGTTGAATGTGCAGAAGTCTCCAAACAGTTCTCGATTCTCGTACATTTCACCGAGTGCCTCTCGACCCATGCATGATTGGTTCTCTTCTTGTGTTGTCCGCTCCCAGTTTGGCTGGCATTCATGTCACCCCACACATTAGAATTTTGATGTCACCATCGCCAACTGATGTGGGATGTTTGTGCGTTACTGATTGCGGTTGTCTATAGAATTCCTGCTCATTCTTCTCTCTGTCTGCATTATTTGTAGGTGCGTAGTGTAGCGTAGCATTCATTGTATGATTATGGCTTTCCTTCCTTTTGAGTTGAATCTTGTTGTCATGGTTTTGATCCTGCAGTAGGAGATTGGTTTCCACTGCATGAGAGCCTTTGATGCTGTTGGGGACATCATGGTAGCCACTCGAAAACTCATTGTACTCGTGATTGTCGTCCGGGTGACAATATCGGAGTAGATTATTGACTCTCCAGTTGGCAGTTTGCAGAGTCCACTTCCACTCCATCTGCTTTTGTATATTCCTAGCACTTCTATTCTGTGTCATATTTTCTCATTCCTTTTGCAATGTGGGTAGCTTTGCCAGGCAGCCAGCTTCAATCATTGTGCGGACATTCCATGTTCTTATGCTTACTTTTGTTTTCATCGAGAGAAGAGAAGGCACATCGATCAATTGGCTTCCCTATGGCTTTCATCAACCGAAGTCATTTCGTCTCTCCGCATTTAGTGAGGAATAAGTTTGTTTTGTGTTTTTTATATTTTCTTTATGCTTTGAAGTTTCTTTGGCTATTGGATTGGTTTTCTGGGGTAGGGATGCTAGCCTTATTCTTAACTTTCCCTCTTCCGGGCTTATGGACCGGCTAGTAAACTAGGCGACATTCTATTCGCCACTTGCAATCACTATTTCGTTTGGTGATTTCAAATTGATCTTCACTTACAGTATAGTAGTTACAGATAGCATGATTAACGCACCTCGTATAGTGTGTAAATTGAATTGTTTCCAAACGTTTGAGATTTGCGACAAAAGACTGGTGGGTCTTTGTTGCCCGTCACGACCTGTGTAACATGGCATATATATATATATATATATATATATATATATATATATATATATATATATATATATATATATATATGGCTAGAAAAAGCCACTGGATCTCAGCTGCTTCTTCTGAATTAATGGATGCATGCTAACTCATCCCTGAAGGCTCCGGGTACAGTGAGGAGCGACTGCAATTCAGCTGTCTACACAATGGTCGCAAAAGTAGAGGGCAGCGCGGACAAAAGAGATGGAAGAGGCGGCGGCAGTAGACAGTTGTTTAGACTTATCAAGGGAACTGGAGCGAAGAAGCCAATGGTTAGTCAGACTACAGAGAGAGATGGGTCTGCGATTCATTCGCAGGGAGAACACGTCGAGAAGCAGTTTAACTGATCAGCTACTAGTTCCTTGTCCGCTACCCAATCAGAACCTGAGTGGAGCTTCGAGATTGGACCCTAAACTTTTTTTCCCAGACCGATATCTGCTGCCGTGATGTGGTGGTCGAGGTTTTCAAAGTTTTTTCAAGTTTTTCTTTGATTATTCTTCTTTCCTCTCTTCTATTGCTTCCTACTGCTTTTGACCGATTTTTCGCTCTTTCTTCATTTCTCTTCTTATTGCTTTGTTGCTTGTTGTGCTGATATGAGGTGTGACAACTTGGACCGTTGTCCAGTAATGCCTAGTCCCATGGTGAAATTGAATGGTTGATTTTCATTACTTAGTGCAGCTAATTTACTTATATTGCCGCCTTTCGGACAGTGATTTTGATGATCACCAAAAACGCAAGGTGAACTTAGCGTGATCAGAGTCCAAGCAGATGCTCCAAGAATGGTAGTCCTGAAAACACCCACGCCATCGATCGCTGATTGGAATGTTATATCTCTAAGTCACTGGGGAGGATATCAGGTGGCTTAACGGCAATTGCTCTGCCTAATTTTGGTGCTGGCTAGAAATAGCTGTGATCTATTCAGAGCTTCAGATGTTCCCCATTATCTGACCTGCAACCACTCACCGTCTATTCTCCAACTAAGCGAATTCTCTCTGGACCTAGAAGCTTGACCTATGCATTGAAATCCACAGCATCACTACGATATCTTTTGAGCGTACCTTGTGGAAATGGTCACTCAGTTGGTGTTTGGGCTCATCTTTAATTGTATGCGAACGGCAGTTTGCTGTGTCATAGGGAGAGATGAGAAAAAGACAGTGTTTACTTTCCCAGTAACTCCTCACTCCAGTTACATATTCTAGCCTAGTAATACTCAAACGGCTGTTGGTGGGGATCAAGTTGACTACTGGAGCTTCGATCCTTGCGCAAGGCTGGCTGCTGGTGCCGCAGGGTCCCCAGATGTGCGCACTGTGAATAAACTTTTCGAGCTGACAGATGGGGAAGTTACTCAAAGCATGTCACTGGGATCTTGTATACTGGTCTCTGAGATAAAGTATATATCGTTAGCTAGGCTTGTCAGAGTTTTGGCCAAATCTGCCTGTTGTCCAATCTGCCTCAAGGTCCAAGTGTTAAGAATGACCAACCTAAGCAGCCCGCATAGTTTCAGAATGGTTGTATCAGATATCACACTGAAGTCTAGCTTTCTGAAAACATTTTTGTAGTGACTGAAGACAAAGAAAACAAACCAGAATTGTGGTCAGTGAAAATCATTTCAGTGAAATGTAAATGCGTATGAAGATGAATGCGGAAATGATAATCGAAGGACCGTATACTTCAGAAATAAAAATAATGACAATGTAAATATGAATGAAATAATAGAACAGAGAGTTCGTTACACAGTGAATTTTGTTTCGTACGGGAAGATTTGATGAGTGCTGAGTAATATTCATTGTTGATGTTGATTCATAAATTATTTGTAGGCTGTATTATTGTCCGGACAACTAAAGCGAAACAGGTGGTTGCCTTAAAGGACCGCTCCTCAAGCTTTCCACTTGACGTCTGATCCACAAGGCAACAGAACAACGTAAGGTGCTGCATTCCCATGGTTGTCGTCCTTCCATTCTGGATGGTGGGTCCCTTGTGTATCACTGGTTTAGAATCAGTGTTTTCCAACTCTCTCAAGTGTACTATTTAAGTACAGCGATCCTGTTATAGGGCTGAACATTCTCCTTCGCCCTGCTTTGTGGAAACACCCACCAGCACGTGGAGACAGAGTTAGGACTTCGCTGAAATGAACAAGTACTTTACGATATTCCTTGATTCTCACAAACGATAACATCGGGGGGATTTCTCTACCAGCAGGTATTTCTTGTACAATACAGTATAATGCACCATTTTACAAAACATTTGCCAACTTCCAAAGCCTTATTATAGTTGAACCGCTTTTGTAGGATCAAAATTTTATTTTTGCTTGAAATTAAACTGACTTTTTATAACAATAAATGAATAGTTTTGAGATTAGACCTAGGGATTTATGCCTTTCAAAAATAACTAACTAAGCTCTGTAAACTTAAATAAGAGGCTGTTTTGTGAACAGCAATGCTTAAAGTATGAAATTATCGGAAACTGTTCACAGTTATCAGAGGTAGTCAAGTGAGCTTTAGGCGTAATTGATATGAGGGACTGTTGCACAACTAACTGATTCCCGCGTAATAGTCATTGGGTTCACAGTGATTACAGGCTGTTTAAAACGACAAATAGTATGCAACACGAAAGTTGCATTATGTTCGTATTAATAATAAGCAAACTTTTAAATTGTAATATATTAGTTTCTTGCTTATATACAGGAACTATCGTTCTTATCTTCTGTGCATACGGAAAAATCGAAGTACTCTCAGCAACCTTGTAAACGCTCGTGCAGTAAGCACTAAACCGCACCTATTGTGTGAGGTCTCATAATACTACCTGGATGCCCTAATCTCGGTAAGTAGAGTGGTGTTTGAACCCGGGACCCCATTGGTCGAAAGTCAGCTGTCTAAACTAATGAGGCACAGTACATACGAAATTTTCCTAGATTTAGTTTAAATAGCCTATCAATTTGTATAACTTTTCAGTGCATTATTTAATTTAATTTTACAGCTGATTTGCAAAGGTACCGTTTCGTTCCTTTTTGCTGACAATGTGTAGTACAGTCTTCCATGTGTTCAACTGACTCACATGTGAAAGTAGTTCTGATCTACACATGATAAATGGCAGTTAGGTGATAAATGCTATCTACACGTCCATCTACAGTTTCACAAAATGTTACAAATGGTGATCGTGTGTTTCCTGAAAAGTACCTCGCTTCTATTTCGGGTTGTCAAGCAGGATTTCATTCATCGAACCATATGCGGGACCAGACATCATCTAATAGCGATATTCATTCTGGATTACATGCGTATTCAGAGAGCATTTCGAGAAACTATGTTTCTTCCTACTTGGATTCAAATCTAGCTAGTGAGACTGACTCCCTACCTTATGCGCTATCTTGTCCGGATATGGTGATTATCGTGCATTTGAGAATGCTAACAGTGACCACTCAGTTAGATTGTTCGGTAGTCAGTTCTTGACATCATGCCCACCAGCTATTCCTGAAGTGCAATCTGATGTATCTCATGATGAACATGTTCCACATCCCTGTAGCTGCTTTTGCACATTCTGCGCACCAATCTTACCAAAAACTTACTGCACTGATGTATGCTGTCCCAAATTAAATTGTCTGGTTTCAACTGACTCATTATGCAAACCTGATGCATTTTTCTGTTTATTGTTTACGAGGCGATGCAAATGTCGTCTGTTCTCTTTTCCACGCCATAGAGTAACTAATGAAAATCTTATAATTCTAAGCATAATTCAGTTGTTATGTGGCTTTGCAGCTATCGTTCTTTCAAGCGTTGCTTTCACTAAGGCTGTCTTCTTGTATCAGATAGCTACAGGGCTATGGGCTGGTTTACTGATGGTGATTACAGGATTTCATGGTCTCTTTGCAGCTCGTCGTCCCGTAGTATGTGCATTAATAGGTCTACTTGTACTTTGTATGATGGTGAGTTTAGCTGCTTGTGTTTTAATCTGCGTTTCTGTGGCTGGGATAATAGAAGATGGATTTCTTGGCAATACTGGTGCTCGAAAAGCGTTTCCACGTGAAATCATAAGTATTTCATCAGGATTCCGTGAAAACACAACTTATCAAAAACACGGGCAAAAATCTACTGTGATAACCCTGACACCTAGAACTGCAGGTTGGTCTGAGTTTGACCAAGTACAGCTTTTGGATTTCAAAAATGTTCTTAGTGAAACGTCGGATTCCTACTTGCGAACATGTCAAATTATCTTGCATCTTCTTTTACTGTTAGTGGGTATTCTTGAAGCCTCAGTGAGTCTTGCAACATCTATCCTTTGTTGTCGATGTGTCTGTTCGACCTCCCCTAATTTTCGATTTCAGAATTCACGTTCGTTGCGTACAAATATAGTCTCATTCAATGCAGCTACAGCTAATCAGGCAGCTTCCGTGCTCCGATCAGGTGCTATAAATGATTTTGTTGGCAGTGGAAATGTGTTATTAGCACTAGATACAGATGTACCGATACAGCGTGAAATAACCAATAGCAGCAGTGAAGCAGCTCGTAAACCACAGATTCACCATACATTGATTCCATTTCTTTCTGACTTGAATCGCCATTCGTTGATTCTGACACAAGCAGGTAATGGCACTGTAGCTTTATCTGCGGCTCGTGCAGCCGCCAATCTTGTAGATACCAGGAGACTCGAAACACCAGATCGAACATCTGTTTCCCGGTCTTCTAATAACGAACAGTCGTCAGCTCAACGGCCTCATACTCTTAGCAGAACTATGATTCATCGTCTTAGAGGATGCCGTCTCGGTCGTTCTAGTGAATCTCGTCCGCGGCTCTTGTACACAACTCTTCAAATTCCTGCAAATCTGTCTAGTGACTCTGACTCTTTCCCCAACCCACCCCCGTTTTCACCAACTGCTACTATTGTTTATGTGATGCCTTCACCTACACATGAAGAGCCTCCGATGATATTTCCACCATTTCCTCCCAGCTACAGTGAGTCACAGAGGAGGTCTTTGAATACTCCTATCAGTCGTGTTCAACGGAACCAATGTATGGCACTACAGTCCCATCAACCCCGTCGACACAGGAGACGTTCGGCTCGGTATGGAATTTCTCATCCTCGATTTCATCCATCTGTTGGTTCACATTTATCACGGCTTTTTTGTCGATATAACTCATGTCGGCTTGACCCATTGTGGACTACTAATACTTCCCGACGTTCTAGAGCAACATACCATCTATCTAGAACTGCCGCTTCTCCAATTTCTGTTGGTGATCGGTTGATCCAGCCAGTTCTTATAATTGGAGACCCAGTGACAGTCAGACTTGCAGAAGATCCGCCTCCAAAATATTCTCGATAAATCCTAGTTTTTCATCCCACTATTATTTGTAAAGATTGTGCAAATCTACCGCATTCCTGTTCAGTCTATTACTCCTTTGAGTCAGCATTTCTTGATCTGAAAAAGTTTGTGATTATACATTTGCCACAACTAGTCTATTTTGTTTTGCCTTTTCAATATCTCAAAGTCCGTTGCTACCTTCAAGTTCAACTGCATATAAGTTTCTATTTAAACAAGATTATTACTGGTCAATATTTTAGTTATTTTTGAAATTGTTTGGTTGTTTCATAGCTTTATTGTTATCTCAAAAGTGGATATTACCTCTAATTTATATGTTGGTATAACATCTTAAACTGAAGTTTTTGGTTTTCTGTGCAGCCAGGAAATTAATGGGATTATTATTAGTAGTAAGCACAGGATATGTTGTGGATAGTAAGCTTAGTTTTTAGCTAGGTAATCTAAATAATTTACATAAAGTCAGGAGATAAATGTTTCGGTATTTGAACTACATATGGAACTTTGAAAATGTAAGCATCCTTCAAGGTAGGAATTGTTTGAATGCAATCCCGAAAGTAGACTTTGCTAAGTAGTAAGTTGATTCCTAAATTATCATTTTCGTGAAAATTTGTGAAATAAATGTTAAACACTATTCATTGGGTGCATCATACTCAACTAATCATCAATTAGCGCATACTTTGTTCTTTTATTATTTGTAAAACCGTCGCTTATTCCGTCTGTGAAACGCAAAAAGTCACAGATAGGTCAACGTAGAGCCTTACACTGACGTATATCTGTTCATGGCACATTTGAAACAACATAAAAAGAGGAAATGAACAGGAATGATATGATATTCAAATAAAGAAAAGGAATGCAAGGAAAGAGAATGAATGTAATGGGGAAAATCATATCATGACGAGAAATTACTTGGTACTCACTAGCTGAAGCAGTCTTCTAACCACTGGCTTCAAATTTCGCTCGATCTACCAAGGCCTGAAGAAGCTGGCTGACCATCGCAGTAGGTATAGATTATATCTTATTATCTCTTGCTTCTCAAGTAGTTAGTGAACTGTATTTTTCATTACATCTTATTTATGAATGTAAATGGAAAAGCACTATTTCACCATGTGGACTAGTGCTTTCGATTTCAAGAAGTTATTGGATAAAAGTTAGTGATAGGAAATTTATTAGTTCCGACTACAAATATGTCTGAAAAATTATCCATATCTTTAAGCGCTACATAAGCAGTGTCATAGCTGGTCTATGATCTTAAACTGTGTTAAGCAGTGATACAACACCACTGATTGATGTAGTTATCTTAAGAAAGGTGGAGAAGGTCATCGTAAAGTCTGACAATTTTTTATCAATCCAAGTTTTCACCCGTCAACCCAACAAGGGCAAATAAACTTCTCCTTAGTGGAAAAAAATTGAAAGAAAAGAGTAAGGGAAATAAGTCAGGTTAGCAAAATAGAGACATTCGGCACCATAGTTCTTTGGATTAAGATTATGTGTGAATGTAGCTGCATCATTGTCGAGATGATCATGCACCATACCCTATGGTTTCTAACCGTCGATTTCGATAGTTGTATGAGTCCGCTACTAGAAAGCTCACAGTTTTTTACGCTACTGAAATCACTTTCTACAAATCGATGCCATATTTCCTTCCAAATTCGCTTTTAGTGACTGTCTGCTGAAACGGAAGGTGAACACAGGAATAGCTATGGTCCTGGTGGTTGTAATCTTTTTCTGGATGGTGTGGGCGTACCTGTTTTATGTGCAGGCAGTAAGAGTGCGGTGCTAATTGGGTTGCGCCATAAATCGAGCAATATTTTGCTACTACTCATATTTCCTCAGTTCGCTTTTGTTTTTCTTACTGTTGCATAAGGATGCGTAACTATTATCAGTTCAGTCTTACCACGTGTAGTGTTGCTGCCGGTATAGGTGAGTAGATGATACTATATATTGAAGTTCTTTTTGTTTCAATAATACATTGGTCGTGTGTATATTATTAGAAGTTTCAAAGTGTAGGTATACGATATCCAGCACACAATTCGTGTTTTGGTGTGCCTGAAGTTATTTATGGACAGTAAAACGAGAACTAAGTATTTTCAGCATAAAACCTTGTAGTTGTATGTATTCACGTAACGACGACGAATCCACCAAATTTTGTGTATGAAACAGGATAAATAATCATGCTGTTTAGGCTGAAGCATTTCTTGAAAATAACCATAAAGTAACACGCATTCGAATTATGTTTTACACTATGACGCATAGACAATTAAGAAGTTTTAATTTTAGCTGTTATAAATACCTAACAAGCTCTGTTTTATCACTTTTAACGTTAACTAGGGAATCGGTTGTTTGACGCACATTATCCTGCGCTTAATAGTTTATACTATCTGCATCCTTTGTATAAGCTTTTATTAAACCAATATAGGTATGAATGATGATTTCGGATTAAATTAAGATGAAGGCTTCGTTGCAGCATAAAACAATCATACTATCGTTTTGAATGATTGAATAAATTGAAAAGTTTGTCCGACTAAGTGATGAATTGTCGTAGATTTGGATGAATAGTTGGACATTCACATCTTACTACTAGATGTAGATTCTTTTTGAAGTTGGATTACATTTTACCAGTGTTCATTATTAAGAACGACCTGCAATGAGAACTTTTGGAATTCAATGGATCTATCTAACATGATGCTGGGATAACATTATGTTATTCAATATGCATCAGCAGAAACAACTGAACTAGCTTTTCCCTTAGCTGTCATCGTTAAACTACCAGATATTTTGAGGAAATATAGAAATTCGCACTAGGCTGCGATGAGCGTATGCACGGATGCGTACCGGTATACAGAAGGCTAGGGTTGATGAGGAAAATTAGTACGATTGTGTTCTCTGAGAGTGATGGCTTAGTCTTCAAACGGTACGAGATACACAAATTAGCTAAACAGTGAACTGTTGTTTACACAATATTTTGTCCTATGAATGAATGGCGTTAACCTAACTCTTTTGTTTTCATATTTCTTGTTGAGGCTTTCAGACTTCAGAATACCAAGCGGCTCCGTGCCTCAGCAACTTATAACTATTAACACATGATTAGCAATGTGGATAAAAGGTACTAAAAACATTCAGAAGAAAATATTCTCCATTCAAAGATGAAATTACATTGAGATTTTCATCTCGACTTGTCTTATGTGGTGATGTAAATTTGAGATTTATGGGCTGAATTTTGTTGGCTGCGTCTTGAACAGCGACTGAATGGTTGAGTTGAAGAGTTATATACTCATCATTAAAATTAGAAAAAAGTTATAAACTGTAATAGTTTGAAATCAGAAGCGAAAATATGGTAGCATAATAAAAAATAAAATGCTGTCCATAAGGGTGCTGTATTAAGTAAACTGACCAAGTACACTTATAAAGGATGTCATCTCATCAGTTAAGCATGCGATAAGTTATGGAAGATAACTCAGTTTGCATAGACCAACCACCATGTCGCTCAAGCAGTAGATCAAAGCATGTAATTAGAATCCTCAAGTAACTAGCTGGTGTGTTAGCATGGAGGTGGGACTAGTTATAGGAAGTTAATTTAAAAAATATGCGTTCGATTATTCCTGTCGAAATGCTGTATCATTATTATTAAGTCAAACATTCTTGTTCAGTATTTTATTTCGAGAATGATAATACTGGTTATGCATTTACGTAATGAGTAACAATTAGGAAGAAAACACTTATCTTCATCATTGCGCATATATCGTAAACAGGATCAGGCAGCTTGTCGACAAACTTCAGCTGCTTCACATTTTGTAAAACCTTTAGTTTCAGCTGCAATTTTCTGATAATCATCTGTTAGATTTTGAGCTGCAGCATGATTTTTTAGAAGCCCTTTTAATATTTCAGTTCTTTCTATCAGACCAAGGGAGTGGGTTGTTGCCCTGAAGAAAATAATAATTAACTTTATTGTTAACAGTACTTAACTGGATTTCGAAATATTTATGATAAAGGAAATAAACAGTGACTGAAATAGGCAATATAACCTCTTGAGTTGGTTTACACTGTATTTTTTCGAACTTCACACGAAATGCGTAAGACGAAAGTGCATGAAGATTGAAATGGCAAATTGCTAAAACCTCGGGACACTCATTTAACTCCCATGTCATAAGCTACAGGTGCATACGAAATAGAGTTTGCTGTTAGGTATTTATAACGACTGGGTTGTCCAAAACAACTCGGTAGTCAACAAACTTGTTGGGGCGGTTTCTTCAAAGCTACACTTCGAGCAGTCGTGAGGACGAATAGTCAGCGAACACACTAGGTGATGGTCGCGCTATGTTGTGAACTGACAGGAGTTAGAAATATGGACCACTGGATTCCGACTCAGTGGTAACGTGCTGACCACGGAATCTGAAGGTCCTGGGTTCGATCCCTGGGCGGGGGGGGGGGCATGGGTGCACACTGCTGAGGAGTCCAGTACTAAGACGGAACAGCTGTCCATTGCTGCCAGCTTTCCAATCTCCCTCCAATTGATGTCAGTCCATGATGAATACCAACTTGAAAACTCACTGAATCCCCACAAACCCCCAAATTCAAAGTAGTGATAGTTAAACCGAAACCGCTTACAAAGGCAAAAAGCTGAATAATACCCTATGTAGTGAGATATACTATCGTATTTCAAAATAAGTCTACATAGGAGTATGCTGCTTAGATTTTAACGCACAAGTATTGTGCTCATGTATATTGATTTTACGACGTAGACACAACGGCCTACCGAGTGCTTAAGCGAATCATGATTACAGTTTGGTGGGTCACTGAACATTAGGATGGAATCTGATGAACATATAAAGCTAGGGAGGTTACTGAATTGAATCAGGCAGTCCAAAAATCATATAACTTACTTTCTCATTATGAAACTTCAAGGAAAAAGATGACTAAATACAGGTATTGAAATAGGAATACGAATAATCACGATGATTTTAAGACTAGTACTTGGATCGATCGTTTTGTGAAATAGTAGACTTTAATAATTGCAAATAACAGCAGTTACTTGATGAATAACCTGTTAGACAAGTCTTTTATAAGAACCTCATTCACGTGTCGAATTTCTTAGCACTTTAGATAAAATTGGGGCGAAGGGAATAGTGTATAGCTACTGTTCCTGATAATCAGATGAGTTAGGCAATGTTGGATTCCGGCGCCATTTTCTTTATCAATAGCATTACAAAGAAATCTCTGAGGAAAATATGTATTGACCATTTAGAATTATGACGAATAGAAGGAATGGGAAATATCATCTCTCCAAGAGGCCGCATACAAGTTAACCACAATTTATCGGTTATTAAAAAAGTCCATAATTATGACATATTGACTTCCTAGATGGCGTTCTGCGAATTATGC